AATGAAATGAAATAGGACAGTTATTATAAATATTCTGGCACCAGAGAATGTATATTGTCTTGTTACTTTCAGATTCAACCTCCATGGTTTTGCATCCTCGATTGTCTTTTTTAACTACCTCAAAACTACTTAATATTTGAAATTGGCCTTGTTCTATTATATTTATATGTTTACAAAGTTAGAATCTTCCAATTAAAGATAATTAAGAGCGAAATAATAAATTTATCTCATAACATAGATGTTATCTTTAAAAAGACTTGCAAAAAAGGGTCCAGAATATAACTCACTTAATTTAATATTTGAAATGATTGGCTTAATATGTTAAAAAGCTACAAGCTACAAGTTTATTAAATCAATCTACTTATACAAAATAAATTTCATTTTCATGTATCCTTTACAAAAGCATAATTTTTTAATCTCAAGGCTAAAGACTAATTAAATGAGGAATTACTTCCTTTATTTTAATTTTTATAAAATCAATAAATCAGCTAGTGAAAAGTGTTAGAGTAATTTCCTCTATGTAATTTATTTTATTTATATCAAAAATATTTTGGAATTTAAATAAAACCATCAAAAGGAAATAATGTAATTTTTCGATAAAATTAATTTTGATAAATTTCATAAAAAAAGGTTAAATTTGATGTATTGAAGATGAAAAAATAAAAAGTAATTAAATCATTCGAATGCTGGATGCCAAATAAATTTTCAATTCTCCTAACATCTATAATTATATTTCCAAATCATGAGTATTAATAAAATATTAATACTTTCAATACTAATTTATTATTACAGAAAAAGTATTATTGGCAGGCGTATCATTTACTAAGATTTAATTTGAATCAAATTACCTATAATACAACATTAATGTTAGATGTTGATAATTTTTTGTTATTGAGGCCAACAAGCGAATCTAGTATATTCCAGATCTCTTGAATTTGATGTTTCTAAGAATTCTAAATTATTTAGATTCTGCTGCATTGGCTCATAGTATATCAATTGATTATTTGTTTTAAAATCTAGTTTTTACAATAAATTAAAAAAAACCTATTACATACTGAACTCTGCTTGAAATATGAAAGTTGCCTAATCACTGATAATTAATTATAACATTTTTGATTATTTAAAGTTACTATATTATTAACCTTAATTCAATTAGTATTTGATTATTTCTATGAATGTATTCATCAATTTATAACTTATAGCAAACTGTTAATTTTCCTAGATTAAAATAAAAATATCATATTAGAACATTTCCTAAGTTATCATAAAACTTTCATATAAAATATTTTGTTGTTTTTTGAATTTAGTAAGGATTCTCTAAAAGTTTTCAAGCAATTAAATATGTATGGGGTTAAGAAGCTAAACCATTAAAGACTAACATGAAAATATGAAAAATCTGAAATAAAGTCCTTAAATGCTAATTATATTTGAAAATTAACTTTAAAAATCAAATAGAAAGTATATAAATTTATTAAGACAATATTTTAGAATCAAAATAACTGTGAGTTTAATTATCAAAATGATGAATTATAATAATTGAAATGATACTCTTATACAAATCAAATGACTTATTAATAATTTTTCTATATAATTATTCATGATAGACAGCCTTTGGACCAAGAATTAGAGTTTAAATTGTATTTTAACTTAATAGTTAAATCAGTTCCTGTTATTTAAGACTTTAGTAAAAGAGGCTTAAGTAAATCTTACCAAAAATGGCTTCTACATATCATTGTTCAATCATCGTAATTCAAAATTAAATTTTGTATTTACACATCATTTCAATAGGTCACAAATCCTTTCATATCACAAGAGCCTAATTTCAAAACACCAACCTATAATACAATTAAAATATTAGGGGGAACATTTTTTAACTTCTTAGTCACTTTAGTTTAAAATCCATAATATCTAATAAACAAGTTTTTAGGTTGTGAGCTTCACCTTTCTGAAGTTAAATCACTGATTCCAACAATTTAGAAATCTGTATATTTACGATCAGCAACAGCGTAAATTCAACAATATTCATTTATTATTGATATCAGATGCAATATTATGAGAAGTGAAATTAAATGTGGGATTGAAATTAATATTAAATTAAGAAGATAAATATTTTGCATTCGAATAGGTGATAAAAATAATTAAGTATGATAACAATATTGAAAAAGAAAACATATTTACTTTTAATTAAACTTCGTTATGAATGATATTTAGAAAGTTTTAAGTAGAAATTTTAACATTGTTAACATAAAAAGTTAAAAGTATACTTTAGATTACTAATCATACTTATTATAGCTTGATTTACAATTATAAAAAATTAGAGAGCATTTTACTCAACACTATGCCCAACATGGCATTAATTAAGTAATGATAATGCTAAAAATTATAGATCGTATTTTTCTACAAGCTTTGTATGAAATAATTTTATAATCATAATAATAATCAAGATATCAAAATTATAAAACGTATCTTAATAGTTTAGCTCTAGTTGGTTTATTTTGAATTACAAACCAAAATTTTATTATCAATTTTAAAATATCGATCTAAATAATACTTAAAAGAATTAAGTTAAATTAAAAAAATAAATATTTGAAAAAATCTAAACTATATTAACAAAGAATTTGGTAAAAATCAGATTCTGAGTGATAATTGAACATTATATATAAATGATAAAACTAAAACTTAATGTTGATTTAAAAAAAGGTTTCTGCTTTTTGTACTAATCCTTATTATAATTCTTATATAAGGAAACTACAAAATGATTCTTTAGAATAGAAGAAAAAACAATTATTGGCATTATACTGCTATAAAAATTTTAAATAAAGCACGTAGATTATTAGAAATGGCCGTACATTTTATAATAAAGAAAAAACATTCAAATCATTTTTTGAGTGCTTTATTTAAGTAATTTCTATTGATATTAAAGTAGGTTTTCATTTGTTAGTAATTAATATTTCTTGCTAAGCATTATATTAAAAAATCTCAAATCAAAGACAATATATTCAAGAATTGAATGCATAATTACAAACGATAATTAAAGTTTCCTTAATATTTTATTTTTTTAGATGTTTCTTTAGTTAACAGACTTATTGATGGGAAGAGTTTAAAATAATTTTTAAACTACAATTATCTGAATAAACATTTTGAGCCCATTCTTATTTTTTTAAGTAGTCTATCTGAAGAAGTGATACTAAAATTATTCACTATTAAATATTTTTGTATTTTTATTGAAATTTACATTTTATTAATTATTGAATTATAATAATTTTAATTAATTTTAATTTCTTGGTAAATAACTCTTATATAGAATAAGATTTTTAAATATTTCTTGCAAATCAATTAAAAAGGATATCTAAGCAGATTATTATTCTTAGAGTTTGGC